TTTTTTCCCAACACTTCCACCAGTTGTTCGATGCTGTGTCCGGCTTAGCCCTTCACGAAGACTGCATCCCTCTGCAGCAAGAAAGGGTACCCGATTCCCCTCCTCTTGGAAGGAAACAGCACGAAGGAAACGCTCACCACAAATCCAACCACCAACGGAACCGTGTTGGCGACCTTCCTCGGCAGCTTCACGCCATAGCACCCCATCACGTCGCCGTGAGACGCTGCGAAGGCAAGGAATGCAAGCAGCGAGAGCGACGCGTGGAAGAGGTCCGACCACGTGAGGCGATACGCCGCGGGATTCTGCGGGCCTTTGCGCCGCGCGTTGAACGCCCAGATGCCGCGGAACGTCGCGACGCCGTAGTACAGCCTCCCCGACGAGAACGACGCTCGGAAGCTGTCGGTGAACGTGAAGAAGACACAGGAGGCGGCGCAAGAGGCGACGAAGGCGGCCATGAGCCACCGGTTGAGGCTGCTGCAGTTGCCGCCGTCGTCGGTGAGAAGCGGGGCGAAGATGGTGAACGCGAGGATGGTGGCGGTGGGGAGGAGGACGTTGAGGCGAGCGGTGCCGTTGAGGATCAGGTTGAGGATGTATAAAAGGTGGGGCTCGTCGGCGCCGTCGTAATCGTCGTCGTGTGGGTCGGAGCGAGCACCAGCACCTTCGATGAGGACCTTGCATGTGTCATGCTCATCCATGGTGGAGGAGAAAGAGTTGCAGAAGAGACGAGGTGAGAGGAGGGAAGGTTTTGTAGGAAGGGATGGATGCGAATCTTTAGATGATGGGAAGAATAAAACACGAGAAGTTTGGGATCATACCAAGTCCGGTCGATATGGAATTGGTGTTGGCTTTCGGTGCTTGCTTCAGGTACACAACATGGTATTACTTCTGCTGTGAATGATGTGTTTTCAGGGATGTTAAATATTAACTTTTAAATGGTCAGTATAGTTTTTCTTACACAAAATTAATTTTTAATTATTATAGTAAACCATACAAGAAGCTTTCATGTGGACGGGAACATGAGATCTATGTAACGAAAGCTAACCACAAAGATGTCTCAACAGAGATTTAATATTAGTTTATTAATCTCCTAATTATTCACAGTATTAACTGTGTCAAATTTTTTTTAGAGTTATTGACTAGTCCATATATATATATATATATATATATATATATATATATATATACAAAATTAAGTTAATCTCAACGATGCATCTCCGATGCTATATCAGGATTGGTTTCGGACAAGCCAAACTAGTCGAATAGGTTAGACTAGTTTGACAAGTCTATTTTTCTCCGATCCCTCTAAGCATGCTTGGCATCCCTTTTATAGTGGAG